TTATTTAATGATGACGAGGGAAGTATTTCAGTATTTCTGTTGCCTTGGCTGGACTGCATCTTCAGATCGCTCCGCGGCTGGTTTCAGGGCTGAATTTCTTCACCGATTTCCTTTCTGTCTTTTTTTTCTTACTTGTTGAATCACCCAACTTCCCCAAAGCTCCGGGTCATGGACTGCTGCCCTCACATCCTGCTGTGAGATTGCTTCACACAGTGCTGAATTCCTTCTTCCATTGCGAGAGTCTGAAATAGCAGAACAGACCCAAACCATGACGCTACCACCGCCATGCTTCACAACTATCTAGCTCACGGCGTCTGATCCAAAACGCTACGATGGCGACAGCCAAAATATCCTTTGACTCTGCACGACAGCATCTGTACATCGTTGATATACAGTCTATGCGTCACTGAGGATGAACTGGTCCAGTGTCAGACAAAGAAGGATTATTTTCAACTGTGAATCAGGCAAAGCTGCTCTGATAAAATCACTAGGTTTACAGTATACACCCAGGTGCTCTGCAGGGCTCCCCACACTTCCAGGCTTTAAACTACATGCCTCACTGGTGCATATTTATGTGTGTTTGCTTATTTTAGATATTTTCTACTCTGTTGTCCTCGATGAAGCCTCGAGCTGAAACGTGTTGGTCACGTAATGAAGTCTTTCATTACAAGCGTTGCTGTAGCTTTGGCCTCTTCAGGTTTTCTCCTCTTCTTCTACGAGCACTTTTGAAGGAGGCGAGGTTGAACGCTCAGCTCTGTGCCTCGCAGCCACAGTGAGCTTTGATAGGCCGCAGCGACACCTCCTCCTGCCCTGTCCGCCCTGAAAGCCAGCTCTTTGCAGCACGGGCGGATAAGCAGTGGAGAAAATGGATGCATGTTGCACTCCTGGTGTTTTCTGCGCAGGTCTGAAACTCGTAAGTAGATCTTAAACCGAGTAAAACTGAATTTCCTCCATTTGTAGCCATCTTATTTACTTGATCTGCTGAAGGTGAAGCACTTGCTTGTTTATTGGTTGGATGATAATGTCTCCTTATTACTGTCACGTAGTCATCGCACTGATGCTGAAGCAGCAGAAACAGATGTATTAATGTGATCCTTTTGAGGCCTTTATAGGTTGTTTTCAGTGTCTTAGTTCACTAAGTAGTTGTCTAAGTAATATATGTGCACCCAGAAACACGCCATAACTGGGCGTTGTGGAAACACACAGAGCTGCACTCCTCTCCTTTGCAGCGCAGCTCCATGCAGCACTGACACACAGTGATTAGATGATTCCCAGAGAAGCCGTCTCAGGACACGTGTGACAGACAGCTTTGAAACACGCCTGATCTTAAAAAGCAGGTGACACGGGTACGTTCATCAGATCGCCTCCCGCAGAAAGCCTGAAACGGCCTCAGAGTCTGAAAGCAGACACACACAGAGGAGTGAATCACGTCTGTGTGTGTGTGCTGACTCAGCAGGAGTAAGATTACAGAGAACGGTGTTTAAAAGCACCACAGAGAGCCTTTTGGCTTTACTATTCTTTATATTCTAGGATTTGCTGAATCTGATTTCTGTTTTCCTAAAACAAATAAAAATAAAAAAGAACAGCATTTCCATCTTAAAATGATAAAAACAAAGAGCAAAAATTCCAGAAATTCAGGGAATTATCAGTTTGATGCTGAAAATATCCTGATGTGGGCACCAGGACTTCATGTTTGGCCACCTCGCCTTCACTTCTCCTGCAAATCTGTCCATAAATTCCTGAGCAGCTGCTGAAAACTATCTGAAACAGTCACACGACGCTCTTCATAGAGCTGATAATAAATATCAGGAGGCCTTTAAACAGTTTTGAGTCAGACTGAGAAAATAATTCATTCCTGATTAAAATCTCTCCGCATCTTGTGTCCTGCTGATGATTTTCTGGCTGTTATTTTTGCTGTGAACTGTCACACAGTGGGAGCTGCGAGCGCAGAGAAAGTGGGTCAAACTGTCGGCGTGACTCATTAACACGGAGCACAAAAAGAGGCGGAATGTTCCTTTAACGGCGGCTCTGCGGGGCCTGCACGTAGCTCACGCAAGCAGCGCAGCGTGTGTGTGTGTGCGTGTGTGTGTGTGCTACGTGCAGCTCTGTACCCCTGCACACACGCTCCGCCCACAGCCGTCTCTTTGTTATCTCTGCAGGATCACACCGCTGAAACTCCGCAGATGTTCCTGCGCAGTAATCGAGCCTTAGCGCGAAATGCGCAGGCGCAGCAGATGCGTACGCGGTGCTGGTGTGTGTGTCCTGCAGCTTTGCCACAGACGGTCGGTCCGCTCCTGCTCACAATAAACAACAGTCCTCGGTGGGGTGTGTGCCTGCGCTCCAGACCTCCGCCAATCAGAGCTCAGCTCCTCCCCCACGTGGTGAGCTTGTTTACTACGGGGCTCGAGCGGCACCGCGGGTGCTGATGGGAAAACCCGGCGCGGATCGGGGAGCACCAGAGTTCAGAGTTCATGTTTGTTAGTCTTCGATCCTCCGGACTGTGTCACATGACGTTCTATGACGTCATAAACTCAAGGAAAGCGGGTTTTGGAGGCTCGTGCTTCTCTGGTGTACGTGACTCTCACTGGGGATTGTTATCCTTCAGCAGGAACATAGCTGTGATTTCTTTCATCTCATCGATATCTCTAAAATTAGAATCCACCTGTCTGAGAGTGAAACACTCGTTCATGCATTTATTACTTCCAGGCTGGACGACTGTAACTCATTATTATCAGGAAGTCCTAAAAACTCCCTGAAAAGCCTTCAGCTGATCCAAAATGCTGCAGCAAGAGTCCTGACAGGGACTAGAAAGAGAGAGGATTTCTCCTGTATTGTCTTCCTGTTAAATCCAGAATTCAAAATCCTGCTCCTCACATACAAGGTCTTAAACAATCAGGCCCCATCTTATCTTAATGACCTTGTAGTACCATATCACCCTATTAGAGCACTTCGCTCTCGCTCTGCAGGCCTACTTGTTGTTCCTAGAGTATTTAAAAGTAGAATGGGAGGCATAGACTTCAGTTTTCAGGCCCCTCTTCTGTGGAACCAGCTTCCAGTTTGGATTCGGGAGACAGACACTATCTCTACTTTCAAGATTAGGCTTCAAACTTTCCTTTTTGCTAAAGCATATAGTTAGGGCTGGACCAGGTGACCCTGAATCCTCCCTTAGTCATGCTGCAATAGACATACACTGAGACCTCCTGTCTCCCCCCCTCCCTGATTCTGGCTCTGTTGGAGGTCTCTTCCTGTGCAAAGCGGGTTCTTCCTTCTCACTGTCACCGTGTGCTGCCCACAGCGGATTGTATGATTTGGGGGGTTTTCTGTAAAGCACCTTGTTGTTTCCTGACACAGTGAGAGCATAGAAAAATGTTCAGAAAGACCAAACAGTATCTGAACCTCTGTGTCTGTGATAATAACAGTGTGAGTGTATTAACTGTAAGAATTGTCAAACTGAAGATCAAATTTCAACTTTGAAGCCAAAGTTTGTCACCCAGCAGGACTCAGAGTACGTCTACCTCAGAGCCTCATCAACACTGAGCTTATTATTCCCTCTATTTAAAATCATCTTTATTTGGAGGAATGTGTCATCTCACGTCTGTTTCCCTTCATGCTTGTGCTTTCACTCTGGTATGTGTTTTGTCCTGAGGGGCCACTCTAGTCCAAACTGGTGATTCACCGTTTAGTGGCACAAAGAAAGAAAAAGAAATCCTCAGACATCTGCGAGTCACGACGGTAAAGTTTGTGACTGACTGCATAAAAAAACACAAATAACATAAAGGTGGAGGCAGCAGGTATTCTTCTCACCTCAAATTTAGGATGACGGATTCTTTATCCAAAAAACTCAGAAGATTCCCGTTACAGCAGCAAACACAAACATACAGCAGCTTCATAAATGATATGAGTAAAAAGCTCCGTCTGCGTTTCAGGTTCAAAGTTTGGCTCCACTTCTGAAAACAAATCTGAACTTTTTAAATAACCCTGTAAGCAAACTGAAGCGATCACATGACCGCGCTGACAATAGAAAACTGTGTTTCAATAACAGCAATGTCTGAGTTTATGTATTTCACTTTTACTTAACCAGGAGGAAAAAATGCTCTAGAGAGCAAAAACCTCTATTCCAGTCGCATCATCACAGCTGTGATCAGCAGACGTTTAGCCAAAAACAACAAAGAGCATATCAAGTCAGCTGCTTTGTCCTGACTAAATGCTGGCAGGTCGTGTTTGAAGGCCAAGAAAAACCATGAACAGGATTCATCCAGCATGAGCTCCAGCAACAGACAGACCGAAGGAGAGAACTTCCTCCACCTTTTTACAGGATGTAGGTCAGTCAGTGAGAACAGAGCAAGAAAGGTCAAAGGTCGAGCCTGTGGAAGGACAGACAAGCCAAGATAATCTAAATCAGTAAGTTTGCCACATAACATGACACAAAAAAGCTCCATAAAAGTTACAAAATCAGAGTAGCATAGAATAAAATCCAGAAAATAACCCAGTAGAAGAGCTCTGCTCAGTAGAAACCACATAAAATAGAATAAAAAGATTTCGTGACCTCGAAGGTGAGAGTTTCTTTCCAGCTTCACAGAAAAACCGAACCTGAACCAAGTCCTGTCCACGGCCTCTCTAATTAAACTCACTGTGGAGGTGGTGGGTGGGGGCTCTGCGCTGACCCCTGTGTGACCCGCTCAGCTGCCCCTCTGTTATTTTGAGTCTTCACTTGTGGCTTTTACAGAAAGCAGGGTCAGGGTCCCCGGACCTGCAGGGGAAAATGTGCCGGTTTGAATATCAGCCCTGCCTCCACCCTGCCTGCACCACCTCCCTGTCAGCTGAAAGATGCTGAGTGATGCCCTCCTCCCCCCATCCGCCCCTCCTTCGGTTTGGGTGGAAAGTTCCTACAGCAGCTGCTTTGCCTGCGTGCAGCTCTGAGGGTTTCAGGAGCTCCCGTCCAGCAGGATCCAGTCCGGGTCTTGCAGGTCTCTTGTCCCGCACTGAAGGTGTTGAACTGCAGCCACACACACTCTCCCTCACACACACTCTGAGCTCTCATTGAACGGCAGCAGACACACACTCAGGAATCCTCCGAGTCTTGTTTTTGGTGCTTTTCTCAGTCTGCAGGTAGGTGACAGCTGCTCGCTTTAAAGCACTTTTACTGCTCTCAGAGTTTTACTGCTGAAGCATGCGCAGTGCGCGTGTGTTTTTATTTATTTATTTGTTTGTTTGTTTGTTGTGTGTAGACTGTGTGTAATGCTGTGAGGATGGGGCTGCTGGGAGTTACAGCGTCGGGCTGACTGCTTCTCTTTTTCTCACTTCTTCTGTTTGATAATCATTTTTTTAATGAAGGATTTTTTAGTTTTTTGTGAAAAGGTTCATATTTTTGTGTCCTCCTCCTCTGCGTCGTCCTTCCGATCAAACACAGCGTGAGGAGTTGGAGGAGCCTCACTTTGTGTTTCAGGAGTTAATGATCAGCTGCAGAGTTGCTATTTTCCTGTTCATGCGGGGCTCTTATTGTGGAGGGACGAAGGAATCCGATTGGTTATGTGTGCGTGGGTGTGTCGGTGTGTGCGCACTAACAGTCTGAAGTGCTTTATGTTGAAAAGCAAGGATCCTACAGGAGTGATTCCCAAAGTGGGCTCCGTGAGGCTGATTTTAGGAGTTGTTTGCACTTCCTGTTAATTCCATTTTACAGAAACTGGCTGCAGTTCAGCCAGAGGAGAAACAGAGCACGCTCTCACGGTAAAACTCGGTGAATATAGGCAGACAACTTCTAATATGATCAGTAACTCTATGGAGACGCAGGACAGAAATCGAAATACCACATTCATGAGTGGCGTGTTTCTGAGACCGATAAAAATTTACTGATTTAAACTAGAACTAGAAAAAATTGCATTTCCTGCGAAAATGCTGTGTGGATGCCTTAACGCGTAAGATGTCTGCTGAAAAAAGCTGAAAAAGTTAAAAAAATTGCAAAACGTTGTATGGCAGTGAAGAAACTGAAAATTTTGCAGAAAACAGGTGAAGAAGCAGAAATTGTTTGCTGAAATGTGGTGAAAAAAAAATGTTGCCCTGAGCAGGATTTGAACCTGACCCTCCTGGTCTCAAGGCAGCCACTTGTCTCACTGAGCCAAACTCATTCTGACAAAGAACATGTGGAGAGACTGACAATTTTGCTGAAATGAGCAGAAGCTGCTGAGAATTGTGCTGATATGAGGTGAAAAGGCTGAAATTTTTGCAGAAAAGAGGTCAATCAGCAGAATTTCTGCTGAAAACAGGTGAAGAAGAAGAAAGTTGCGCTGAAAAGAGATGAATAACCAGAATTTCTGCTCAAGAGTTTTTTTCTGAAAACAGCTGAGATTTGTGCTGATAAGAGGTGAAAAGGCTGAAGATTTTGCAGAAGAGGTGAATAAGCAGAATTTGGGCTGAAAAGAGTTTTTTTCTGAAAACAGCAGGAAAAACTGAAAATTCTGCTGAAAATGGGTGAAAAAGCTGAAATTTGTGTTGAAAAGAGTTAAAAAAGTTTTACTGTTAACTGAAAGAAATTTTGCCATAAGCGGGATTTGAACCCCGGCTTCCCAGTCTGAGAACGGATGCTCATCTCACTGAGCTAAAACACAGGTCAACCCGGCAAGGAAAATCAGTGAGGCCACTGATAATATGGCAGAAATGGGCAAAAAATATTGCAAAAAAAAATTCAATATCTCAAAAAGTATAGAAGTTATGAGCACCAAAAGTCATAGCACGCATTAGCAGAAAGAGCAGAATTTTTTAAAGAAGAATAATTTGAGGGCATCCACACAATAAAATAGAATAGCCCTTTATTGTGATTGCACATGTAGATAACCTCCAGCTGGGTGTTAGTGACGCTCCTGACCTCTGCTGGAGACATTGTTTGGAAACAGCTGACGTCCTGTCCCAAGTCATTAAAGGTACTTCATGTGAAACAGCCGTGCAGCCGAAACCACTTTCAAACCTTCTAAAGTCAGTGAAACGTGTGTTTGTGCTGCAGAGAGGTCGCCTGAAGCTAAAACACGGGCAGACTGCGCTCTCGTGTAATACCACTGTGAGCCACAAGGTGTGTAAGACAAGAACACGCCAACAATATTTAACCGCGTGTTAGCGCAATATGTGTGTGTGATTCGTATTTCCACCACGCTTGATCTCCGTGTTTGACCGCTGCACTGAAACATTGTTGCAAAGAGCTGCAGCGTTCTGGGGAAAGTTTTCATTGGAGAGTTTTTACAAAAAGCGTCTTTAATACTATAATACTGTGTAGATGTGTGTGTGTGTGTGTGTGTTTGAACTTTAAGGGACACTCTGGTGCTTTGGTCACTGACATCACCAAATAGGACACCATTTAAAGAAGTCAGCATCAGAAAAGTGTGCAGGGAAGAGTTCAGGATTGCCTTAAACTCCAACATCTGAAAGCCTGAAGTGAAGCTAAAGTATGTGGACGCCACCCCTGACAGCGCTTCCCTGACTGCTCGCTCTGAATGACGGGAAATGGAGAAATTGTTTATGCTGCAGCTTGTAATGATCATCAGCCATGGCCTTCCAGCTTTCTACCAGCTGTTTTTCTCTGCTCATTCAAGATGACAATCACCCCCCACCTCCACCCCACCCCACCCGAGGAAAGAAATACACAGAGGAACATGTCCACATACTTTTGGTCACACATGTTAACAGATGTAAACTGATAAAAAGAGGCTGATGGACAGTTACACCCATTTGCTCTCTTCATGTTAATCCTCTACGCTGTTAGTGACAGTGATAGTGAGCTGGTAATGACACACACACACACACACACACACACACACACACACACACACACACACACACACACACACACACACACACACACACACACACACACACAGCCTGACTGTAAATGACTCTGCAGCCTGTGACTCACTCAGATTTTAATCCACAGCCAACGTTTTCCCAGCAGAACGATTCAGATCCTCCAGTAAACTAAAAAACAACAACGATAAAAGTACACAACGTGTTTGTGTACTCGGAGTGGATATCTGCAGACTCACAGTTAGATAGGTAGTCCACTGGTGCCCAACCTGTGGGATGGGCCTCTCAGAGGGTCAGCAGATAAATCTTAGCCGTGAGTTTGTGCACAGATGCAGTGTTTACACAAAGGCGGAGGTGTGGCGTTGGTCCTAATCCAACACGGCGTGGGCGGGGCATGCACGGTCCCTTCAGGTTTTCTTATCTGAATCATTAAACACCGTTTATAAATTTCTCCTCTGCTAATATCTGTGACCGAAGCAGACAGTGATGTCCTGCTGACGAGCTGCTGGTGGAGGTCCTGGTTCTGCAGCGGTTCCTCTCCTGGACAGAACCAGTACCTCCAGCCACAGCCCTGCAGGTGTTTTTCTTCCAGCCACATGGTGGTTTCCTTCACCTGCAGCTTCCTGGCTGTGCTTACAGAGACTCCTTTGTTTCTTGCAGACATGATACCAAAGGCTCGTCTGGGGAAGCGTTCTCCTCTTGGGGCACTTGTGACCTCTACCTGTCCGGGGGTCAACCTGGAGACTGGTGAGACTGTGGTGACGATGGTGGCAGCGGGACAGCAAGCGACAAGCAGAGCAGACGGCCATCTTGGATTAAAGGTGAGTGCTGGTCCTGGATGTTGAGCTGAGCAATAATGTGGGGAAAACGCAGCGTCTGTCCAAATTAAGAGTATTTCTGTTCGTGGAGGTTTGTGTTGACTGGCAGCTTTCTGAGCCAATCACAGTGAGCCGTGTCTGTCTGATCTCAGATGTATTTCCAGTGTGGAGGAGCAGGTGAATCTTCAGTCGACAGCTCGCCTTCATCCTGCAGCAGATCCGTGTCCTCCAGCATCGATGTCCCGAAAAGGTCAGACGCGTCCCGCCTCTGGTGTTTATTTATCGTTTACTCTGTGTTTACCTGTAAACGTGTTTAAACGCCGCTTCCTGTCGTCCTGCAGTCAGAGGAGTCCTCATGAGGTGGACATGAACGAGCTGATGGCAGCGATGGTTCTCAGCAGTTTGTCCTGCAGCCCGCTGCTGCACAGCCCCGCCCAGCCTGACCTCGCAGGTACACAACATCAAACAAACAAACAAGCAACACGTTTTTCCTCCACGAAGCGAGGCTGGAGGTGTTTCTCCCTCTGATGGTTTTTGTTGTTTTTGCTGTTTCAGCAGCTTCGATGGAATGTGGCGGCGGCGAGCTCTCCGACAGCGGCTACTGGAGCGTCGGCCACGCTCACCGAAGCCCGGCTCCTTCCCCGCCAATCAAAGAGTCCGATGCCAGCCCGGCCACGCCTCCTGATGAGGGTGTTGACATGGAGCTGGACCAGGTGCTGTTTGATGAGCCAGCACCACGGAAACGCAGGGTAAGTGGCGGTTTACAGCAGTCACGGAAAAACGATTTATTGATTGTCGAAGTGTCGAAGACCACGAAAGCTGCCGGTGGTGATGATGCGTTTCCTCCTGCAGAACTCGGTGAAGGTGGCGTACAGGTGTCTGTGGCCGAGCTGCGGTAAAGTGCTGACGTCTGTGGTGGGAATTAAACGCCATATCAGGACGACACACCTGTGGTAAGCCTCACCGGACGGCGGCTCCATTCTCTGGCGTTGCTCAGCCTCAGGACGAGCTAAATATGGAAGCTCGTTACTGCCAGAAACATTTGAAAACTTCAGATTTATATCTTTACATTTTTATATCAAGTCTGACCGCAGCTGCTCCCACACAGATATGCAATGTGTTCATATTTACATTTATTTTTTAAATCCTGAAATTTCAGCATTTTAATGAAATTTCTGACATCAATGGGCTTCCATATATTTTTAAAAACTGTATTTATATAAAATTGTTCTTCAGAAAGTTTTTCTGACAGTAAGGAAGGAATTTGTTTAATAATAACCTCTGACCTCTGACCTCTTACAGCCGTGGTGGCGAACATGAGCGCTGTTCCCGCAGTGAGGAGGATTTTTACTACACTGAGATCAACCAATGGGAGCATCCGCAGCAACGGTCTCCTCCCCATTCTGGACACAGCGGCTCCTCCCCCGCCTCACCGGCTTCCTCCCCGTCCTCGCCTTCCAGCCCACCAACACCGTCTCCACCGTCTCCCTCCTGTGCCGCCCTGAGTTGCTCCGCCCCCTCGTCTTCTGGCAGCTTCTGGCAGGTCCAATCAGAGCACTCCTACCAGGTGTGTTGATGTTTTTTCGGCTGTAAAATATTAATGATTACTTTTATTGTTATAGCTAACTCGTATTTTTTTGTTTTTAGGCTCCTCCTCCGAGTCAACACGTGGTGTCAGCGGCAGCAGCCACACCATCCTGCCGTTGGACAGCCCCGCCCACCACCTGCCACAAACAGGTAAATCTTCAGAGCAACTAAGATCTGTATTTATAGGAACCTGAGAGAACTCGTTATTAACGGGTCGCTCCCGCACATCTGGGATCTCCATGTTTGATTTGATGTGGTTTCCACGTTTTTACGCCATCACGGGTACATTTATCCGGGCTTATGATGCCGCGAGGAGCACGCTAACTTGCGATCAGGGATCTGAACCTTTGTTATCTGTGAAAACATAAACACAGAAGTATCTAAATAGTCTCTGCTGCGGGCTCAGCACGCCCACAGAGGATAAACAGCGGAGCTCAGCAGGCGTGGGTGCTGCCCGTCTGCAGGCTCAGCTGATATCGCCCCCAACACGACGCGGATACCTGGATGTAAAGTCAGAGCAGTTGTTGATAAGCTGAGTTAATAATAGAACTTTGGCTGTTTTTAATCACACGGCTCTGCAGTAGGTGTCTGTGTCACTGTAGTTGAAGCAGGATGCAGCTGCTGCTGGGGGAGGTGTGAGCTTAAAGGTCGAAAAACAAAAAACAGTTCGATCAGAAAGTTTCCCCAAAATTCAGACTTCAGTTTTTTAATAATCAGGTTTTATTGTGAAGGTGTGCTGAGCTCACACTTTGTGTCCTCGAAGCTACCGAGGAGCAGCGTGGACAGTTAGACACTACAGCTGCGTCGAATGGGCTAAAAAAAACAGTATCCGGTTACCATGACGTCTGGCACCAGATGTATCCTTCAGTGAGACCCACAGTGTAATTGGTTGGGTCCACGATGAGACCAGCTCACCTGTCCCCCCCCCTCTATTTGTAGCGGAAGGAAATTCAGAAAAAGGATCGTGAAGCAAACTTCTGTTTCATCCCTTTAATCCGACAGAATGAGTCAGACTCATCATTACTGCACCACAGAAGTTGTTGCTTCCCTGCTGGAGCGTTCGTAGGTATTTCAGGATCCATCAGAGAAAAAAGCTTCAATTAAGTTTGCTGCTGCTACCATGGCGGCACCCGGACACCGAACGTCTCTCAGTCTGAGGTGGAACCGACATAAAAACTAAAAGCGTCCCGCAGCAGGGTGTCAGAGGTGTAAGGTGAAATTTTGGCTCACTTGTGCTTTGGGCACAAAAACTCGGCGTGACAGAGCTCTAACGAAGCTGCTGCCCTCGGCCGGGTCTTTACGGCGGAAAGTCCACAATTAACCCAAAGTTATCCTTAAAGAAGAGTGAAGGTTGTGTCCTAACAGTGTGTGTGTGTGTGTGTGTGTGTGTGTGTGTGTGCACAGTGAGGCTCTGTCTTCATTAAAAACAGACTTTTCTGTCCCCGATCTGCAGAGGAAGCAGCACGGAGGACTTTCCCTGAGAATTTTAGGTTCTATCCAAGTTTTTAAAGCTAATTACGGTGCATCCCCCCCACAGCCGGCTCTCTGCCCTCACTTCTCCAATTCGGTGTTTTCTCGGTGAGTGTGCACAGCAGCCGATTGTTTGCTTCCTGCCACCGCAGCCTGTTCAAACTGGTTTCATTCTGGAGAAAGGAGGGTGCGTACTCCTCCCTCATGGTTTCATTCAGGCAGGAAAATCCCCTCACATCATTTGTGATTAATTCTCCATGAGCTGTGCGCGGCAGAGCAGCGCTGCCACCTGCAGGCCGGCAGAGGACACTGCTCAGCGGTGACGGCTGTAAACAGCTGCTTCATGCACGACTGCACGACTGAAAACAGGCAGCTGGGCCTGAAAATAAAAACAAAACACCTCCTGACGACGAGCCAGACACACAATAACATGAACGTGTGGAGGCGTCTTGTCTTTTTCATCCTTCTGTGGCGATTTTATCTCATGTCTTCGATTCTTTGTCTCTGCTTTGGTCATTTTATGTTTGTTTTTTGAATTATCGTGCTTCTCTTTGACTTTCCAACGTGGAATATGAACACTTTAATCAAGGCTCCGTCCCCGAGAACGGGTCACGGCGCCCTGCTTCTGTTTTTTTTGTTCGTGCTTCAGAAAGCAACAGAGAAACAATGAAAAGCTCCAATCTGACCCCTCTTCCTCTCTCTTCTTCAGAGTCTGTCATTCCGGGTGCGTTCGGTCAGTGTGGGAGAGCAGTGGCTGCAGCATCAGAGCGCCCCCTCCAGGTCAGTGCTTCTCTTTTGTTGAACAAAGACTGTATATATGAGATGGCTGTAGTCTATGAGATCCTCCCATTCAGCTGATCGCTGAGCTCAGTGCACACGTCCCTGATAACGAAGCCACGGGAGGAAAACTCGATGACACAGTGGCGTCTGATTGGCCAGCTGCTGTCCTATGTTGGCTCGAGCTTACAGCTTCCTTTCATGTGCGTGAAGCTTTAATCTTGAAGTCATTCGCTGACCCTTTTGTCTCCGTGTTTTTTCAGAAGGATTCGCGGCGAGGCCAAAAAGTGTCGTAAGGTTTACGGCATCGAGCACAGAGACCAGTGGTGCACAGCCTGCCGCTGGAAGAAAGCCTGCCAGCGCTTCCTCGACTGAGGCGATGGGAAGAGGCAGGAAGACTGGGAGGAAGAACAGAGGCTGGACTTTACTGGTGGATGTTTCTTTTAATGTTTTTACATCTGGAACCAGAAACGGTCCCAAACCTGTGCGATGAACATTTGGCAGCTCTGAAGCAGCTTTACACGTCCGCGTCACTTCCAGCTGAGCGCTCTGCGACTAAAGGAGCATTTCACGGTTTCTGCCGCTCACAACAGCTGCTCTTATCTCTCTGTAAACACTTTGACTCTACTGATCTGAAGTAACTACACTCGGAGGTCAGTTTATTAGGAACACAGCAGCAAATCTGCCATCATAGAGGTTTCAACACGTCGGAGCTGCTTCACACGTATCCTGCTCAGCGATGTCGACCAAATAACAGAAACGGACGCCTGAAGTGAAGCAAAGGTTGAAGGTTACGTTTTTAATGAGTCAGATTTACAGACTGTCCAAGTCTGGTTTGGTGCTAAAAATCCAAATTTAAAAGAAAAGCAGCACACGTGAGATCCTGGAAGTCAGATTTTAGTTTGAAATCTCAAGCTCAGCGTCTCGCTGTGAGAGGGTGAAGAGAATATTTACAGGCAGTTTCTACAGTTTTTTCTTTTTTAACAAAAATTTTAAGCAGAAAATTCAGTGCTGCTTCCATTTTTTAAACTTGCTGCTCCTAATAAACTGGTGACAGAGTACGTAACATTTGCGTGCATATATACAAATAGAGCTATAATGAAAGAGTTCCTCTTGGAGCTAACACCTGGCACCTATTTTTTTGTTTCTTTTTGATATGTTGTATAAAGAGCAGAACTGACCGTCAGCAGCTTCTGATCGCTGAGACGTCGGCGAGTTTCTGAGAGGCTGAAAACACTTAAAACGAGACTTTTCTCGAGCAGGTTCTGCTGAAACGCGGCCGCTAACGTCCCGTTTCTCAACATCTCGTCTGGATTAAGTCTTTTTTTTTGTAATGTTTGGAAGCTGAAGCCATTTCCGTCTCTGTGCAGTATTGATCCGTTTACACAGAGTTATAATATCTATATTTTATATCTGCTCTTTTCTGAGATGTACATACAGATGATGTATTATGGGTCCAAATATGACGTCAATAATCAGTCTCACCGCAGCGAATACGAGACAAAGATGTGTTGATATTCTGCTTGTTTATGAAGCAAACGAGGAAGCTGAGGAGCGAAATCGTGTCGTTTTTACCGTGATTTCTTTTCTACATGATGTCAGTCCTGATGTTGTAGTAAATAAAGCAGAAAAAACTCTGGAAACGTCTTCGGTCCTTTTATAATCTGAACAAATCGCTGTTTAAGACTCATTTAATTTTGTGTTTCTCACAATCTTATTTTCACAGATCCGAAGCTTTTTATGAATCTCAGTTTTTGTCTCTTGGTTTAAGGTTTTTAATTCTCGCAAATCTGAAATTTTTTCTTGTAAATTTGAGCTTTTTCTCACAAATTTGAGGGGGGGGATTTGTTTTTCTTTTGAATTTAAAGCTCAGAATATCAACCCCCACCCCACCTCTTTTTTTTAAAACCTTTGTCCGTCATGATACCTGATGGAACAGAAGAGCTCGAATGCTCAGAGGTTCTTTGTGTTTTAAATAAAGTTTTTATTCATGACTCAGTAATCACAACAAACTGAACAAAAACTTCCGTAAACAATAAAAAACAAAGCAAACTGCCGCACACACCCACACAGGTGACCGCTGTAATAAATTATATGTACAGTCCAGGTCCATCCGGGACTTTGTCCCACAGAGGAACTCCCAGAGAGCCGGCCGCCCAAATCTAAAGAGAAGAAAAGACGACATTAACGACGAATAACACCGGCACAGAAGAAGAAAATGTGAGAATCTGCTGGAGCAACTTTATGTTGACTGCATCTTTATGCTGTGGTATCAGCATCTACTTTCACAAATCAGATCTTAAAGCCTTTTTTACTTATTAAACAGCATATTTATCTGTGGATTTTATTGTGAAAGGTCAAGGTAGGAAGTAGCTGCACTTCTGCATGTGTGTAAATGAAGAGACAGCAAAGTGTTTTTGAACGTTAAAACACGCACGCTGAGATAAAGGATTATTCTGAACAATCATGCAAAGCTCCTCTCAGAGTCCAAGCATTAAAAAAAGGAATAAAGCTGAAGCACAGAAACACAGCAGAACGTCTGCCGCAGAGCACGAGGAGCTCGTCCCTGCTGCTGCGTCGTGTCGGCAGAAAATGTTTTAATGAACAAAAACGATTTTGGTACAATTGATTTTTAAGAGCTGCACTCAAATAAAGTAAACAAGGAGGGCCGATTCTGATGGACATGCGCACGTGTGTGTTGTACTTGCCATTTATCAGTTTTGTTGTGGGTCGACTCGCTCTTTCCATCACAGGCGACAATCTTGACCTTGTCGACCTTCACGAGCTCGGTGACCTCTCTGAACTCAACGTCATTCAGAACGAACGTCCACACGTTGTCGCAGAACCTGTATGTGTTCAGAGATCCCTGAGAGGTGGAGACAGAGACAGAGGCGGGGTTGGATGATTTTTTTTTTAGGAGGCGGAGCTTGAGAAAATACAGATGGACTCACCCTGAAATTGACCCTGTTGCGGACTCGGTTGGCGAGCGCTGTGTTGATGGCTTTATCGAACTGGAGGAGGACCTGAAGAGCGAGCTGAGGAGTTATCTGCTGAGTCTGAACACACACACACACATTTATTAGTTTAAATTTAAGATTTTTAAATAATAAACAGCTCAAAGAAATGGTGGGAACACGCGATCATTGTAGTAAAACACAAAGTCAGGTGAACATTCGAAGAAGAAACCACTGAATCTATTTCACCTGCACAGGTGCAAATGAAATGAGATGAACTCGAGGGCAACAACAAGACAACACTCACAAACAGGAATGTTGTAACAGCTGATGGCACACGGAACAAAAACAGAGAATTACTTTTGTTTGTGTAGTTACTCTCCTAATTTTATACCCAGTTCCTAAAATTATAGCCCAGCAGACCGGTGGATGTGCTGCCACCATCTGGTAGAACTCGGTACAACAGTGAAGTGCAGCCATTCAAACTTGTGTTGGCATCTTTGCCAACACGAATTGTTTTTGAACTAAAGTCTTAACGCTTTGTTAGTTCTAAAAGGTTTAAGACTTTTTTGAAACAAGACTTTACAGAAAAATCAGAAGCACAATTTACATTTTCAAGACAATTTTTTTCTGAAGTGATTTAAACAGATGTGCTGTACTCAGGTCATCTGCCACTTTGCACTAAAGTGGTTTGGTCTTTGAGCACACAAGACTTTCCTCTGCCTCTGGAGGGAGCACTGATTGGTCTACGTGTAGTTAAAGAGTCAGATGTTTCCTCGTATTTCTCACCACCTGAAGAACAAACTATACTCTCCCACAGTGCGGCACACCTGAGAGGGCGAGTGTCAGAGCATGATGTGAGGTTCAGACGTGAAAAAGAAGCGTCAACTCGTTTAATTAAAAGGCTTTCTCACCCTTGAACCAGGTAAACAGAACCTTCATCACTGTTACAGAACAGTAACTTGTACGTCTGTGAACTTTGACCTCCCCGCTTTTATTCATCCCCTACAGCTCACACCTGCAAAATTGTAACCCCTCTCTGGTAAAAACTTGATTTTTTTTGCTTGTTTTCTGGAGTCTGAAACATGGTACAGCTAGCAGGCTACTGTTAGCTCATCCGGCTAACAGGCTAGCGGGGAGCTGAATGCCACCAACTGGCAGCACTGGCTCCGTGTCCGCGGGCAGTGTTACCTGTATAAGCTCGTCCAGACTCTCCTGCAGGCTGTTTCCCAGCGTCGTGTTCCTGTACAGCTGATACGCCATTATGGAAACTCCGAATGAGCGAAAACCAGCAGCGAACTATCCTCCAAACACAGGACGAGCAAACGGAGCTAACTGCTTCCCTCCACAACAACAGCCTGAAGGACCACAAGCTAAAAAGCTAACAACACACTTCCGCTAAGATTTTTCGAAATAATTGTCATTCTGACTACGTAAAATAATTTATGCTTTTAAAATATCAAGTTGTTAGTCGTTGACATTTTAATTTAATATTTTAAATTCATTTTATTAATTTAGTTCAAAAGGTATTTTGAATATGTCAACAAATTTACTTTTATTAGTTTATAATCAATAAAATATTTCCTTTATGATTTTGTTAAAAGTTATGTATATAATTTAAGTAATTTTTATTATTTGTTTAAATATTTTATTAAACATTTTCATCTATTTTTAATATTTTAAGAGATTGTGTTACTTTATTCACCTTTTTAAAAAATAATTTCATGTTATTATGTTACAGTATTTTCAGGACTTCCGACGAGTGGATGTGATGATGTTGTGTTTTTGTCAATACTCATGTTTGCTCAGAAAGGATTTTTTATTTTGGAGTTTTATTTTGGAGGTGGCCTCTTCCTAGTGTGTATTGCTTACTTGATGCAGAAAAAGTCTGTCTTTTTCCTTCGAGTTTTCGTCCTTTTAAAAAATGATTTCATCCACGTTCGATTTCTACTTTGTTTGTACCAGTTTTATAGGGTTTCTAGTTATTTTTCAGTTGTTTGCTCGTCTTGTTTTTAAAGTGAAGCTGATGAGATATCACAGCTGTGATTGTAATAGGAAGCACTAGATGGCAGCAAAGCTTCAAACTGTAGAAACACTAACCTTCCTCTGCAGCTCCTTCATTTATGACAGCGGTTCCCAAACTGTTTTTGCTAGGCCCCCCTTTGTTTTACAAGAAAAATGTTGTCCCCCACCCCCCGGGCGCGCGCGCACGCACGCACAAACACATCCTCCAACCACACGAGCCCATTTTTTTGCTCCATTGCGGTTTATTTCACAGCTCAAACATTTAGTAAACAATTAAGCAAATACAAGTAATCTGCAATAAATCACAGGCAGTAATAAAATAAACTTCTAACTCTTTCACGCTGCGTCCGCACCTACACGGGTATTTGTGAACACGCAGCTGTTTCGTCCATGTAAACGGCGAATCACCGAAAACGGAGATTTTTTTAAAACTCCTTTTTGCATTTATGTGTGGACGAGGAATACAGAGTTCTTCATGCAACGTCAAAGGTATGTGCCTTTTTCACGTCACGCTGTGCGCCACATTATTGTTTACATGAGATGAATGGCAGATGGAGACAAACTACTGTTAATCTGACTGTCTGCAGGTTTTACACGCAGTTACTGTCCCTCCATTTAGAAAGGCAGAGGCGTCACGCTGTGATTATTTTATGTGTAGCTGGTTTTTTCCTGTGTAATAATATTCAACATTGCATCAATACATTTTTCAAAAAAAATGCCTCTCTGTGCAAAATGGGTTTAAAAACATAAACAGCTGTGGGATCCTGTTTGTCCGTGATTTGAACCGGGGGGGACAAATCATGTCAGGATCAGCCTGATGTTATTTGTATCCTGCTGTGACTTTACTGTATAAAGAGCAAACATCTCCAAAATGTTACAACAAGTGTTTGTGAACTAAAGATCAAGAATGTGGGATCCTGTTTGTCCGTGATTTGAACAGCCCAGCGCTGCTCCTGATGCAGGGAAAACCAATCCTGCAGGGAGACCTACCTCTGTACCTGTGCAGGTGAAGCCAAAGGGAAGATTTGCTTCACCATATTTTCTAGTCTTTGGCTTAGAATGAAGTTGGTTTGGAAACGTATTCAGCGATGCTTCATCTCCTGCTTTGCGTTTGTGTGGGCGCCCCAAAGCGTTTTTTTTTTTTTTTTCCCCTTTTCACACCGCCCCCCTGCAATGGCTGTTCGCCCCCCCAGGGGGCGGGCCCCAGACTTTGGGAAGCTTTGATTTATGAGTTTCTCTGTTATGTTGCCCTGAGACACTGGCCCCACTCATCAATGCCAGTGGAGGTGCTGGAGCCTATTCCAGCTGCCACAGAGTGAGAGGCGGCGTGTATCCTGGACAGGTCACAGGTCTGCAGCCTCTTGGTGTCAAATTGCAACCAAAGTAAAAAACTTTGTGAAAAGTGTGGAAAAAGCAGTGTGGCTTACCCCATCACTGCCCCTCCTGCCTCCGAGAGAGGAGGCACACAGCACTGCTGCAGTGCATCATGGGACCAACACCAAAGAGTGTGTGATCTGGAGACAGTGCATCAAACTGTTCTGAAATAATTTCTCACAGATGCCTCAGCAGTGTCGAATTATGACCTTTATTTACTTTTGTTCCTTTCCAGCGACTGCAGAGGCGTCTCGTATCTCCTTTAGCTCGCTCTTCATGTGGTCCAATCA